TTATACACTTCCAATACCCATGTTGTATACTAATTTAATAGCCAGGCAGTACGCATGGCAGCCGCGTGTTCAAGAAGAGTAATGTGCAGCAACACCTTCAAACTCAAACTGCTCTTCAGGACGGTGTTCTCGGTGACAGTAGTTACGCATGTCGTCCATGTTATTCGACTCCGGGCGATTCATTAGAATTAAAAAATGTAATGCATTGTTTGGGTTTAATGTTGCTGTTAGTTAATGAAGCTATGCTATAACCGGATCCTGGTCATGATAGAAGTTGAACTCACATTTATGAATGAGCAAACGATAAGCTACGTCAGTGGCTGCAGTAAGCAAACGATAAGCTACGTCAGTGGCTGCAGTAAGCAAACGATAAGCTACGTCAGTGGCTGCAGTAAGCAAACGATAAGCTACGTCAGTGGCTGCAGTAAGCAAACGACAAGCTCCGTCAGTGGTTGCAGTAAGCAAACGATAAGCTACGTCAGTGGCTGCAGTAAGCAAACGACAAGCTCCGTCAGTGGTTGCAGTAAGCAAACGATAAGCTACGTCAGTGGCTGCAGTAAGCGAACGACAAGCTCCGTCAGTGGCTGCAGTAAGCGAACGACAAGCTCCGTCAGTAGCTGCAGTAAGCAAACGATAAGCTGCGTCAGTGGCTGCAGTAATTAAACGATAAGCTACGTCAATGGCTGCAGTAAGCAAATGATAAGCTGCGTCAGTGGCTGCTGTAAGCAAACGATAAGCTGCGTCAGTGGCTGCAGTAAGCAACGATAAGCTCCGACAGTGGCTGCAGTAAGCAAACGATAAGCTGCGACAGTGGCTGCAGTAAGCAAACCATAAGCTACGTCAGTGGCTGCAGTAAGCGCTGCGACAGTGGCTGCAGTAAGCAAACCATAAGCTACGTCAGTGGCTGCAGTAAGCAAACGATAAGCTGCGTCAGTGGCTGCAGTAAGCGAACGATAAGCTGCGACAGTGGCTGCAGTAAGCAAACCATAAGCTACGTCAGTGGCTGCAGTAAGCAAACGATAAGCTGCGTCAGTGGCTGCTGTAAGCAAACGATAAGCTGCGTCAGTGGCTGCAGTAAGCAAACGATAAGCTTCGTCAGTGGCTGCAGTAAGCAAACGATAAGCTCCGTCAGTGGCTGCAGTAAGCAAACGATAAGCTACGTCAGTGGCTGCAGTAAGCAAACGATAGGCTGCGTCAGTGGCTGCAGTAATTAAACGATAAGCTACGTCAATGGCTGCAGTAAGCAAACGATAAGCTGCGTCAGTGGCTGCTGTAAGCAAACGATAAGCTGCGTCAGTGGCTGCTGTAAGCAAACGATAAGCTACGTCAGTGGCTGCAGTAAGCAAACGATAAGCTGCGTCAGTGGCTGCAGTAAGCAAACGATAAGCTGCGTCAGTGGCTGCAGTAAGCAAACGATAAGCTGCGTCAGTGGCTGCTGTAAGCAAACGATAAGCTCCGTCAGTGGCTGCTGTAAGCAAACGTTAAGCTGCGACAGTGGCTGCTGTAAGCAAACGATAAGCTACGTCAGTGGCTGCAGTAAGCAAACGATAAGCTGCGTCAGTGGCTGCAGTAAGCAAACGATAAGCTACGTCAGTGGCTGCAGTAAGCAAACGATAAGCTGCGTCAGTGGCTGCAGTAAGCAAATCATAAGCTGCGTCAGTGGCTGCAGTAAGCAAACGACAAGCTGCGTCAGTGGCTGCAGTAAGCAAACGATAAGCTGCGTCAGTGGCTGCAGTAAGCAAACGACAAGCTGCGTCAGTGGCTGCAGTAAGCAAACCATAAGCTGCGTCAGTGGCTGCAGTAAGCAAAAGTTCATTTGTGAATGAAACAAGTCATACCGTCTTGTTTTCTGAAGTTCGGAAAATGAATTCGTGAAATGCATGACTAGTCACTCAATGAATGCTTCTCGTGCCTTCAGCGGAAATTGCAGAGTCCACATAATCAGCGTTATTTCATCAGAAGCTATGCATGTAATGGAGGATAAGAGAATGTTTTTTTCTGTGATAAGTGAAACAAGAATTAACTAGAAAATCATTCTACATGTGACATCACGGCACATAAAAGCTTAGTTCTTGACGTTTGGAATAGTATTTGTATTAATGAAAATGCACTCATTTCCAAGTATATTATATTTGTTTTATTTAATCCTACACTCAACAATATCCAAACTTGAGGCAGTCTGTAAATAATACAGTGATTCGGTGATTCTATTAGTGATTATTTGGTGCCATTTATATGAAAACATAGTTTGGGCGTTTTGAAATGTTATGGAAACAGGCCTATTTACACCAGTGTCAATTCAAGTCCATTACCCTGATAAGTGTATTATGTCATATATGCCAGTGGGTAATGACACGTAACCAAATTAATGACATTTCCATGTCTCCATCCCCTCTCTCTCTCCCACACAGACACGCACGCACATGCATACACACACATGCACGCACACACGCACGCACGCACGCACGCACACACATATACACCCTTACATACGTATCGTCTCTGGGTCGATCTTTGTTGCATTAAGCAAGTTTGATGAGGTTGAAACTAATATAATGGAGTCAACATAATAGATCTTCACGGGATGGGAAGATGCCGAAGTAAAGACACAAGAAAACTTAAAATACAGCTTAACTTCGATGTCGAAGCCCAGGACCATGCTGTGCGATACAAGGCCGAATGTTCAGACATTGACTCTGTTGTGGCCTTAGACACAGTGAACAGCATTTATTGCAAACACGATGCCAATAGATCCATGACTTTTCCAGACTAGACAACAACCAATATATCCAAAGGGTCCACAAACATGAAATGTAAACATGAATGGTGGTGCGGTATTACATGTAGGCCATGTGTAACGACATACAATCGTCTTTATCACTTTTATGAACTGTAACTAAATAATTTCTTGTTGTGTAATAATAATAATGATGATAATACAGGACCCTTTTCCGTCACTTTTGGCAATGAAGTAAGTGTACCTTTGGCATATTTGCATATTTACCGAACTCTTTCAAATTGAATAAACCAATACGCGTTACGTGATCCTGCATTGCTTCTTTTGGTGTAGATTAGATTGTATATAACTACAATACAGCCATCCTCTCGTGTCTATATTGCTGTGGGCAGCTCTTGTCGACTGGCAGTGTATGTTATAAAGTAGAAATGCATCCCTAAAACATTAGATAAAAAGCGACAAATTCATTATATAGATTTGCGGTTATTTCGTGATGAAAGGCATGCTATGGTGTATGTATGTATGTATGTATGTATGTATGTATGTATGTATGTATGTATGTATGTATGTATGTATGTATGTATGTGTGTATGTGTGTATGTATGTATGTATGTATGTATGTATGTATGTATGTATGTATGTATGTATGTATGTATGTATGTATGTATGTATGTATGTATGTATGTATGTATGTATGTATGTATGTATGTATGTATGTATGTATGTATGGGTGTGTGTGTATGTATGTATGTGTATGTATGTGTGTGTGTGCGTGCGTGCGTGCGTGTGTGTGTGTATGTATGTATGTATGTATGTATGTATATATATATATATATGTGTGTGTGTGTGTGTATGTATGTATGTTTGTATGTAAAGACATCCCTTTTCAGAAAACCACCATCGCCGCTAGATTACCTTGTCCCTACTCGTTGTAATACTGTGTATAAACTCATAGCGCTTAGAGCTGACACTAAAAGTCTTAGTGACTGGAGTCTTTAACGCTTTATTTTATAAATATACTCATTATTATTATTAGATTGTTTAGTGATGAGCTCATGGTCGGACGTTGGGAATGTCCTTATCCCTGTATATTGCTTGTTAAAGGAATGTTTTCAAGGTGTATTATTGTATCCTGCAACATATTGCAGTAGTGTCAGAATCAACCGACATCTGACGTCTAGGTTGTCCATCTCACCCTAAATATGGCTCTTCGTTGTAGGTTAAACGGTCAGAAAAAGCTAAAACACCTCAAATTAATATTAGATTTCTTTTGCTCTAATTAACCATAAGAAACGAAACACAAAATCACAAAACGTGTGATAATTCATGTTATTTCCATTGATTAGTTTCAATGAATGTGTTATTAATAGGATGGAAACCATACTTCAGCATTCACTTTCTGACACCTCTGCCTGATGTAACTGTGAGTAAAAACCATCATCGTCCTTATTCTGGTGTAATATTTCTATCTGTCCATCATTGTCGATATCAAGCAATGCTTTATTTCCAGATAGTTCATCCGCAGTGCAGTGTCTGGATATTGACAACAACCAGACCACAGTTAGTCACTATGGTGACTAGGGCCTCAATGCGGGTCTGCGTGTTCCTTGTCTTTACCGGCTGTTGCTTCTTATGGATCGGATTTGGAGATGGCAAACAGAGTGTACTTCGTTTGATTGCTAATCATCTGCAGTTGGCGAGATCGAGACATACCACAGAGCTGCGTCAACGGAGAATTAGTCCAACAGGTTCATCGAACCATCTCTGCCCTGTGATACCACCGAACTTACGTAAGTCGACAAGTAAGCAGGGCGAATCAAATGATATTTTATAATATGTACAGTAGAGGGTTTTAAAATGTGTAGAACGGTCGACCAACGAAAATAAAAAGGAAATTGCGTTAAGAAATGAGAGAGATTGGGTACATGCTCGCATCATTCGCATCGATGTTTGAGCTCTAAGGTTGTCTGTAACCAGTAGTTGTTGTAACAGGTTTGGATTAACATTGATCCACAACAGCATTACTCATGTTATGAAATCTCCATACTCTTAAGCAGGCAACATTTATAATTTCCGCGAGGATGAAAACTTCAAGGTAATCTAAGCTTGACTAAACTGATAGCTCTAGCATTTTATATTCATGAAAGATAACACCTCAGGTTTTACTTGAGGCACAATTACAACGTCTTCACCTATGGTGGTAGCTCAAATATCTTTGAAGATAGCTGCTAAACTGAACTTTAAGAAAACCATCTTTTAAAACATGGCATGTATCGTGCACATGAATATTTCAGAGGAGAATATTACAGCACAAATGGAAGTTTTGTCTTTTGAGGAACTTGCAAAGCGACATACAGAAATAAGTCATGGTGGTCGATTCAAACCTCTGGGTTGTATTGCTCGTCACCGAGTGGCCATCATTGTGCCCTATCGCGACCGAGAGTCCTACCAGAAGATCCTACTCAACAACCTTCACCCCATGTTGCGACGACAACAGCTGGATTATGGCATTTTCGTTGTTGAACAGGTAAAACATGATCTAAACAAGCTTATGTGTAAACTCAGTATCTTGGACAGAAGTGGGAACAACATACGCACTCACGAGTAATTACTCTTCACCGATGAGTGATAAATAAGTAGTTGATCTAGCGATTGACAGTAGGGATGAAATAAGATTGAAAACACCGATACCCATGATACCATTGCCGCTTATTGATGTTTCTTGCATGTACATTTTGCAGGCTATGCCAGGCACATTCAACAAAGCCATGATGATGAACATAGGCTATACAGAGGCATTAAAGGAATTTGACTTCCAGTGTGTCATCTTCCACGATGTGGATCTACTCCCAGAGAATAACAAGAACCTATACACGTGTCCTGAGATTCCACGTCACATGGCAGTCGCTATTGATAGGCGTAAATACAAGTAAATGTTTATTGTGTGTATGTGTGTGCGCGCGCACGCGCGAGTGTGACAACATACTAACGCTATTGTTGTTGCTGGAATGCGTCTGATAATTGTCTCTTATGGGTCCGATTGCATTTACTTTGCATCGAAAGACAGCTTGGACCCGGCACTGTGGCCACAACCAATGAGTGTATAGGTTTGAACCCTGGCCTTTAAGACATATTTTCACAACTGCACTGAGCAACAGAGACAATCGTATATATCATTTGGAAGACACATGTACTTTTAAAGCACACAAAATAAGAAAAAGAAACAAATATGCATGTTTCCGCAAGATGAATCTTGTAGCAAACAAGTACAGGCACTGATACTGATAACGTGGTAGTTCATTCAGGTTATCTGTATTTAATCCAACTGTTATACATCAGTATATTTGAACATCGGAAGTTTCATTGCTCGCATCCGTCTTCATGAAGCAAGAGAATACATTGGGTCAGATGACAATCAGATATATGTATCCTTCAAACCCCTGGAAGCCACTTGTGGTATTCAGAAACTTGAATCGTGCAAGTGACTGGTCCAGAGGAGCAAAAAAACACACTTCAGTTTCATATTTAAGACCAGCCGACTTCATCCAGGAGTCGGTTGGATTGTTATTCTGTTCCACACACTGCATGTACACACGATGCAATGGCTTCTCAGGTTTGATGAAGGAGTTCACCTGGTTTACCCCCATCGCTGTACCGTCTAGCAGCACATTGCCATCAACAAAATGAACCTCAAATTTCAGATTCTTCACCAACATTGGCTCGCTTAAATAGCTGTGTAATTCCTTGCTTTCATCATAAGTGTTGACATGTATCACCAGAACGTCATCCGATAAGTAAATATGTTTACAAGTACACAATAAATTTCTGTCATGAAGAACCTCCACATTAATCAAACCCCGACCTCCAGAATTGAGTGTCATATTTAAACGATTGAGAGAGGAACGAGGTTGTTCGGCTCCGTTATCAGACATGATCCTTCTGGTCAGGGTGACAAGACTCTGGATATCTTGTTTTGTCCAATCAACTACTCCTACGGAATAGGGAAGGACTGGCACAGCAAAAGTATTGGTGGCTTTGACCTTGTTTCCAGCATTTAGCTCTGAGCTCCAGATTTTCTTAAAGCGAGTTTTATACTCGGCCCGAAGTTTGTCTTGAATCTCGGCATTCTGGTGCTTGTCTCGGACTTGCATTCTAAGACCTGATATTTCACAAGATGCTCAATAACTCTTACCCCTTGTAACTTGACCGATCCATCATTAATTACCTTGCCACGTTTCAAATGAAGAGTATTACATTTGTCCAAATGTCATGCTAATATTATAAGAAAATGACTCGACAAGGAGAACCTGTTCTTTCAAATTGCTATCTCCTTTGGCTAGAAAGTCGATGTCATCCATGTAAAGGAGATGAGTAAGCGGTGTTGGTGATGTATGCTGAGGAGGCCCGGGATGGTAACACTCTTCTATATTGAGCGGAAAGCTCAAAGGATTTAAGGGCAAGCAAAAAAGCAAAAGACTAAAGGAATCCCTCTGCAATATCCCCCTTCTGATTGGAATAGATTCCGAAGTCTGCCCTGCCCTTGCGAGTACATCTCAAAATGAGTCGACCAGCAGCTCATTAAAGACTTGATTAAATCAGTTTGTCGCTCATTGAGATCAATACAACGAAAGACTTCAGTCTCCATTTGGGGCGGTGGGGTAGCCTAATGGTTAAAGCGTTTACTCGTCATGCCGAAGACCCGGGTTCGATTCCACACATGGGTACAATGTGTGAAGCCCATTTCTGGTGTCCCGCGCCGTGATATTGCTGGAATATTGCTAAAAGCGGCGTAAGCCCATACGCACTCACTCAGAATCCATTCATGAGGGACAGAGACGTACGCTTCTTTGTAGTCAATCCAGCACGTGGAAGGGTTGCGGTGAAATGTTTTAGCCTCTTCCAAAAATCATTTTTTGTACAAGGAGTTGATCCTTGCACCCCGAATATCCCTTCCTCGCTCCTTTCTGACCTCCATAAATTACATAATTGGAAGAGCAGTAATATTATTATCATTAAATCAAACCATTTCAAACTACTTTTCTTGGCTCGGTCATGTCGTTCTCCAGTTTAGAACAACTACATGTATGTCCGTTGTAACATCCGGCCAAGTTGCTGTTCTTATTTCGAATTCCTCTCTAAAGTCAACCAATCTCACGGCCAGATAACGAAAAGATTCATCGGGCAGACAAGTAAGAAAATCAGTAAAGATTACAGACGAATATCGCTCCTACAAAAGCATAGACACACACAAAACAGTATCAAGTAACAGTGAAACGCGTTAGGATTTGTAAAAGTCGCTGTGGAAACGTCGCTGTGGAAACGCTTGCCTCGGGGGTCGTATGCAGGATTCAAATCCACAAAAATACTGTCAACAGAAATCAGGAGACGGTTCAGGTCAATTATTCAATTATCATGTACTATATAGTATATATTGTACACAGATCTGATTACGTAATTATGATATTCTTTCTCACAGACTGTTCTATACAGGCGCATTTGGCAGGTTGCTCGCACTAACCAAGGAACACATGAACACCGTCAATGGCTTCTCAAATAGATACTTTGGTTGGGGTATGGAGGATGATGACATCTTACAAAGGTAAGAATGTGGTTTGATATGCGAACTAATGCTTCATTAGAATCGCAATGTTTGTCATAAGACATATTAATGACTGATATTAACGAATGAGGTGTTATAAAAAACAACAGACGTGTCTATCTTTCAGCGCCTTTGTGCAATGTTGTGGAATGGAAACAAATGTATGGGTCCACTGAAGCGGTCAGAATGAGTTCGAATCCCATTCGTCATAAACATTTATGGAGATACGCAAGGTCATCATATGCTGATGTGGTGAATGTTTAGGTATTTCCTGTATGCTGACTTACGTTCCTTCTCAGAATGAACCGACATACTAATCGGACCATCTGAACTACATAGTGCAAACTGACATCTAACAAATACTTAATGATTTCTTTTTTCAGAGTTAAATTAAACGGATTACAATATTCCCGAGCATCAGCAGACGTTGCTCGATACAGAACTATATTGCACCCTCGAGACAAAACAGTGTTGAGCTAAATTATTAGAATATTTTAACGAACATGTAACTGAAAGATGTAAAACCATAATCAACAAACAAAGTCTATCACTTTAGACAAAAGTTTTCCTCACATTATAAATGTCAAGAGGCACACTATCTTAAGCATAATTATCATCAGCCTTTGCCAACCACTGATATCGTGGAGATCAGACAAAACGCAATGGATTTCCCGCGGCTTTGAAGTTATGACCTCAGATGAACTGGAGGTTGAGCAATTCTACATATAGACCGTCAGTGCAATCGAACACCTTTTCTTGACTAACCTCATAAACACAATCCGTTTAGGGTAAAGGGAAAATAGCTTTAAAATATTTTATGGATGGATCAGTGAATATCGGTGATGACACCAAGTGTTCGTTGAAAGGGTTAGCGCATCAAAAGAGAATAAAAAACAGGCGTTTCTATTTACTTTCCTCGCTAATACTGTCTGTATCATTGCCGTGACATTTATGTAAGAGCGGAACTCACTCACCCACTCTCTCTCTGTGTGTGGAAAAAACCCCCACGAGAACACGAGGATAAAAACATAGTAATGAACCTTGTGCTTGATATTTAGCTGTCTGTTACTTTTTATTATTGAATCTTCTCATACTATTTTTTTAACAAGTCAGCGTTTATGTATGCCATGTAAACATATCGCTGAATCATAAGAAAGGCGCAAATCTTGCATCAACGCATTGTTTGCCTCACTAATGTGTGACTTTTAAAATAGTTCAACGTGATCATGAAATAGAATCCAAGAAGGAGTTTTATAATAAGTGAGTTGATAAATTATCTATCTCAATTCTACTATAACCGATTTAAAATCGAACTCCTTCCTTCCATGGAAGACACTGCGAAATTCGGCATGGTGCGAGCGGCGAATTGAACTCGTCTGTGAAGGGAGCGGAAGGTGCCGTTCGTATTTATTTTAAACATTGCAGCATATATAATATTCTGTCCAAAGAAAACTAACTACTGTTTATTCAATGCAATAATGTAATACCTAAGAACTTGGTTTATATAATCACAACTCCACACGACCGAAACCAGCCTATTGTTTTGCGTGCCGTGTTACTCTAACCCCCCTGGCCACACTATAATGGCATCGCCTGACCTACTTATTTTTCTTGGAAGTGCAGTCTGTAGTTGTTGACAGTTACGCAACAGTTTGAAATGGCGGACAGCCAGTGTTTAGATTTTGAGTGACAGTGGAAAATAATTGACTGACTGTCAAATCTGAACCCTGCAGAATCGAAGAATAGATCCTTTTCTGATCGACCTACGACCTGTAACTATTCAAAGATTTGTATGACCAGCGAGTTTGGATCAAGATTTCACTTACATAGGCTGTAGGTGCCTCAACCCCGGCATGTGACGAAAAGAGTGACAGTGCTGCTTTGTGTACATGCGACTAGCTTGGGATTCCTTGGAACATTGTTTTCATCATTTGGGACTGGATTGTGGCCAAACCTTTTTCAAAGTGTACGAACATAGATCACCAGCAGTGACAGCCTTGTGGGGAAGCTGGCAGACGCTGAATTCTGGTGGTTCAATTTTTTACATGTATTTTTTGAACGATGCAACGGGACATGATGGAGTGTGAGTGGCATAATTTTTGTGTTTCGCCTGACCGTTATCTTGCGAATTTCCCATTCTTATGATTCTAAACGGAAACAAATATACCATTTACCAAGTAGGTAAATGTTTAGTAATTATTTGCTGCACATTTTGTAGGGATGAAATTTACAAGGCTTTCTGATTTACATGTTAGATATTGTTTATTTATGTTTGGGGCTGTGTATTGTAATTGAGTTTGAATATTTTTATTATAGAAGGTTATATGATAGTGA